TAGTTAAAGATTACAACAGTTGATTTAACTAATACAGATAACCAAAGGATAATATCACACTAGATGTCATTAATATAGCAACAATAGTGTAGTTTAGGAATAATTCTTACTTATACATTTATATCCAATTGATATACCTATGTATTATTATATTTTCCTACTTGATATTATATAAATAAAAAAAAAAAAAAAAAAAAAAAACATTGACTCTAATGATAATTAATTTTAATATATATTTTAATTCTATAGCTTAATTGCAATTTAGTGACTGTTACTGCTAGTGTTAACTAAATTATTTCAAAAAATAAATATACAAAAAAATAAAAATAAAATTTATTAAAAAAATATAAATAAACTCTTTCTGCTAATCTTTTTGTACAAATTTGAAAAAATACACAATCGATGATAACATAAAAACAACATAGAAAACCCATAAAAGAGTTATAAAAAAAAAGAAGCAGAAAGATAAAATACATAAAAATAGTATAAAGACATAGCAGCTTAAAAGAACTGAAAGGCACTAGAACAGAAACTTTGCAAAAACAAAATTTCTTGGAAATTTTTTAGAAATTTTTTGGGAATTGTCATTGACTCTGAAAACAACAAATAGAAACATATGACTAAAAGCAGAAGTAAACAAACAAGAATGTGACAAATTTAGAGGTTTGCTAAAGCAGGGTAACTATTAAATTGATGGTCCATGGGTCATGCAAATCAATTGACATTAGCACATGATCGACATGTAGCAGCCAATAGAATTATGATTCAAATGTCCAATCAAAATCCAATCATGCATCTAATTTTAAAAAAAAATCTTTATCTAAAAAAAATCTTGCGGTGGGTTAGTGTTTTGAAGTCGGTTTTGAAAGAAAAAAAAAAAAAGACAAATGATAGGTTTAGGGAACTTATTATAATAAGTTTTTTAGCAACAGATTTTATATAAAAAAAAACTGCAATAATCTATACATATAAAAGAACTCTGTACAAATGAGTGGGTTCTGGCTAAAAAAAAATCCTGTGGCAAACAGCAATCGAGCAGCTTCTGACTATAACAAAACCCTCATGGCAAGCAGCAAACAAATGGTCTCTAGTTACAACAAAATTCTACAGCAAACAACAAGCGAGCAATAGCAAACAAACAGTAATAAAAGTCCTATGGCAAACAGCAAAAAAAATAACATTAAAAATAATAATAATAACGATAATAATAAAATAATTAAAAAAAAAAAAAAAAAACCAGTAATGACAGGCTTTGATCAGCTATAATTATATGATCACAGCAATGTCAACCATCTGAGACTGTTTTTTTAATGTGAATAAAACATTTAAGCTTTCCACTGAGGACTTTAACAAGCAGTGGGCCCTTGTTAATAACTTTTGGACAAAATACAATAGTTACATATTAAATAATGGTGATGAACGTAAGACTTTCGTTTGTAGACTTTCAAAGCCTCATGAATCAAGCGGAAGAAAAGAAAATGTTCTCTCTGAAAAGCTTCGCATAACCTGGAAAAACCCCGCCATCAATTGTGAAGCTAGAATTAGAATAACATGGTTGGCAGCATCGAATATGGTTAGAATTGAGAGGGTAAGAATAAATATAACATTATTTAAACGTTGTAATATTGTATTGTTTTAATAAAAAAAAAAAAAATTTAAATTGTTTAAAGGTTAGTGGTACCTCTGATCATAGCCATTCAATGAAAGAAAATAATATGCGAAAACGGTCAAAATTTATTAAAGATATGATAGGCAACGAGGCAATTAAAGATTACAAACTCTCGACAATTGCTGATGTTATTAGGAAAGAAGCCTCTAAATTATGTGAAGACTCAGGCATAAAATATTTAAAAACCAAGAAGGTCGCTAATATCAAGCAGAAGCTTGTTGAACCAATGAATTCGCATCTTGTTGGAGATGCAAATTTAAAACCTGATATCTTAAATACAATCAAATTTTTAATAGAAAATAATTATCAAGTTGAGTCTTTTCAAAAGCAAGGATCACTTGAGCATTTGCAGGGTTTATGCTTTGCAAACTTTTAGCATATAGAAAATTTAATGTGTTATGGCTGGTTAATGCTCATGGATTCTACACATAACACTAACAAGCATAAGTAGCATTTATTTACTTTATACATCTGCGATAGCTGTGGGTGTTGGAATGTCAGCGCACACTTCTTTGTTAATAGAAAAAATAGTAAGGCAGTCACGTCAGCATTAAAAATTGTTCGAAAATTTGCTCTACAATGGAATCCACAGTATATGCTTCTTGATCAAAGCAGTATAAAATCCAATGATGTTGTGTTAACATTTCCAGATCTTTCTGCAGATAGGAATAGAATAAATTTGTACTTTTTTTTTTTATATTTTTTTATATTTTTTATTTTATTTTATTATTATTATTATTAAAATCTATAGGAGAGCAGGAATGTGATGTTTTCCTTTGTACTGTGCATGTTGTATGTACATGGATGAAAAGTATTTATCATGGCCCGACACTTAACAAAATGATCCACACGATGCACAAAAAAACACAAGCAGGATGTGAGGAAATTGTCTGTGATGTCATAAATACCTGTTTTATTCAAGCCAATGCTAAATATATTGCCAGAAACTATCTAAAAAATTCAAGACAATGGTCTCTCTGGGCTCAGCAGCATTTACCACTTCTTCTTCAAATTACTTCTACTAACCCTTTAGAGTCTTATCACAGTGAGCTAAAAGCAAAAATTTCTGTTCAATACAGTTTCATCGGGAGTATTTTCTTCGAGTGATTTTAACCATATTTTTTTTTTTTTATAAAAAAAAAAAATTGCTTTATAATTTTAATTTACTGCGCTTTTCAAATTACTGTGCTTAGCAAATTTTATTATCACATGTAAATCCAAATTTTGGATATATTATAAAATGCAAATCTATGGTTGACTAAAAAAATCAGTAATCGATTTTTATTTTTTATACTCAATAATGGCCTGGTTAATTTAAATGCTTAAGACTATTTTTGAATATTGAAAACAGACAGGAGATTAGTAAGATTCCTTCGCTCAAAATTTATTTGAGTATAATTAAAAACCAAAATTTTTTATTGTTTGGTTAATCAATATAATAGTAGGTATTATACTAGAAAATTAGCATTCAATGCGGAATCTTCAGAAGTATTATTATATTCAGTACCGATTTGTAGAAAATAAGAAATTTAAAGAATTTTGCAGATTCTGCATAATGTGTGATTGAAAAGCACAGTAATTTTGATTAAGAAAAGTGATAAATTATGTATTATATTTATTAAATCATTAAGTTTATTATATATACTTATACATATATATTTTTTTATTTTAATTATTATTACAACACAGGTGCATATAACATCCTTTTAGAACTCAACAAAAAAAAAATGATGGCTGCAAAAGAAACTGCTATCAACTTTCGTACCAAAAGAATTTCTCTTGCTAATATTAGGCCAGAAATCCTTACTGAGGTCCATAAATTTCTTTTTCCTTTTTAGAAACTTATCGCAGAAGAAGTACATACTGTCTCAAAAAGGCTGGAAAAGAGAAAGTGTGCACCAAACTTTGCAAGTACAAAATGCTCATATAGATTCTTCAATCGGTATATGTTACTGTGTTGTCATATTTTTCACGAACAACTTTGTGGTTCCAATATTTTAACACCAGAAGCATGGAATAACTTTCAAAGAACATTCAAAGAGAGTGGCATGGAAGTATATCAAACCTGCAGTATTGTAGAAGTACCTGTAATTCAGAATTCAGCTGAAAAAAAGGCAGCTGAAAAAAGTCAATCAAGAATGAATGAATTGTTTGAAAGAACCCAAGACTGCTACTATAAATTGGCAGAGGAAAGCATAGATGAAGCATCATGATTCATTGGAAGTTTGGAAAAAATTTTAGAGCCAGTGCTTAATTAAATTTTTGTAGGAAAAAAAAAAAAAACAAAAAAAAAAATAAATAATGGTTATTGTTCTGGAATGGAAGAATAAGCACAAAGCATTTATTCATTATAAATAATCTGCCAAAATGGATTGAAATAAAAGTTGAAAAAGATAGCGCAAGGCATTTTAAAAATATCAAATGTACTGTATATGCAAGAAGTAATAAATAGCATAATAATACAAAGCTAAGTTATAATTCTTTGTTTTTTTTTTTATTTATTTAAAAGGGTAATTTTTTTTTTTAAAATATAAGCAATTTTAAAGCTAATGTTTATAAACTAGAATAGCTTACTTTAAACACTTGGATTTGTAAATTTTCTTTATACAATAACAGAAAAAAAAAAATCTAAATAGTAACCATTCATGAACCGAAAGTTTACTTTGAACACTAGACTAATCAATTTTCTTTTATTACGAACTAAATTAACTCAAATTAAAGGAAATTAAATAGTAAATACTCGTGAACCTGAATAGCTGATTTTAAATAACTAGATTAATAAATTTTCTTTATACTTACGCACCAAATCAACACGAAAAAATGAAATTAAATATTAAATATTCTAAACTTAAATTAATAAATTTATGCACCAAATTAGCCTGAATTAAAGAAAATTTAATAAATATTCATGAACCTCAATGGCTTGTTTAAACAGTTAATCAATAAATTTTCTTTATACTTAAGCCTAAGTCAACACGACAAATAAAATTGAATAGTAAATGTTTATAAACTGGAATAGCACTGGTAAAAAATAAAAAATTTGATATGTTGAATGACACTATTCGAATGCCATTTGAATAGTACCATTTAACATATCAAATTTTTTATTTTCTATCAGTGTAACTTATTTTAAATGCTTAAATTAATAAATTTCTTTGTGCTTATGCACCAAATTAACCTGAATTAAAGAAATTAAATAGTAAAATTCATGAACTTAAATGGTTTATCATAAACAGTTAGATTAATAAATTTTCTTTGTACTTATGCACTAAATTAACACGATAAATGAAATTAAATAGTAAATATTCATGAACTGGGATAGCTCATTTTAATGCTTAAATTAAAAAATTTCTTTGTATTTATGCATAGGAAATTAAATTGCACATATTTATGAACCTGAATAAATGTACTAAATTACAAAATTAACAAAAAAAAAAAAAAGGAAATTAAATAGTAATTTTCTTTATAAATTAACATGAAAAAAATCAAATAGTGGACATATATTTAGATTAATAAATTTTCTTATATTTACACAATTAACATGAACAAAATGAAATTAAATAGTAAATATTTAATGAAAATAGCTTATCTAAAAAAAAAACACTAAGCCATGTTATTCCTACTCTTACCCTCTCAATTATAACCATATTTGAAGCTGCTAACCAAGTTTTCTAATTCTAGCTTCACAATCAATAGCAAATTTTTTCCAGATCATGTGAAGCTTTTAGAAAGAAGGTTTTCTTTTCGTCTGCTTGATCCTTTAGGCTTTGGCTTTGATAATCTACAAATAAAAGTTTTACATTCATCATTATCTAGTTTGTATTCATTAAATCATATCCATACAAGAACCTATTGCTTATTGAAATCAAAGCTCAACTGTTATGGCCGTGGCATAGTTTTTTTTTTTTTTTATAACTACAAAGCTACTGCCTTGTCATAAGAAGATTTTTTTTATAAATAGTGTTCTTACAAAGAACTTCGAACCAGCAAATAACAGAAGGTTCAACCATGTAAGATACCTCAACGATTTAAAAAAATTTTTTTTTAAATTTACGAATAAATTATTAAGCAATAGCACAGAGCACATTGATTGGTTACAGTTGATGAGATAATCAATTGACCTGCATGACCCCTGGACTGTCAATTTAATAGTTACCCTGCTTTAGCGAACCCCCAAATTTAGTAATAGATAGAATGCACAACAAACAAACAAAAGTAAACAAACAAATACAACATATATAGAAAAATCTAGAAGAAGACCTGGTTCAAGTAGAAGGTGCACAAATACAAAGTCTGCTCAAGTATGTTAGCAATTATGGAGCATGAGTAGTTGAATATATAAGCAACAAAGAGCTAATTAAAGTTTTAGAGAAGACAAAACCATCAAGCCCAAATGATATAGAGCTAATAGCAAAAAGTCTAGTAGTTAAAGATATAAACAAAATTACAGTATACAACTTGCTTCTTTATGATTAGATAATAGTAGCACTGAGAAAGGCAGAAAGCATATATTTACAAAGTGAAATTATTGAAGACTGTGCTAAAAGAATTAGAATTATGAGCCTAAATCCAAAATCAGTAGATTATCTTTTAAATATAAAATCAGAAGAAGTAATTAAAGAAGAAGACAAGATGCAAGGTATTGAAATTATCATGAAAAATGAAGACATGCAAGCAGAATGTAGTAAAAAAAGACAGCAAATAGAAGCAGAAGAACTAGAGAAAGAACAAAAAATAAACACAAAATTTAATAACAGCACTGGTAAACAAAAACAGAAGCAATACAAAATAGTAAATTGCAAATGCAAATTCAACAAACAGAGGAAACACATATGTCACTAGGACAAAGCACCTGGGCACTAGCAAATAGATCATGTAACATAAACAGCTCACACCATACAAGAATACTAGCATACAACTTGAAAGGTAATACAATTCAAGAAAAGTTGCAACATATAAAAGCGATGTTAGGAGAAAACAAGCATATAAAGTCAGTTGAAGAAACAATGAAAGAAAATAGCAAATGGATAGAAATAGACTTTGACTGCAACTACAACAGAGAAAAAGCAACAAAAAAATTACAAAGGCAAAATATCAAAGAAGTACAAATTATAAGGGGAAAAGAAGAAAAGAAAGTCAAACATCAAACAAGAGTTATTGTACTAAAAAAGAACCAAAAAGCTAAGGAATTCTACAAAACATACAAAGATAAAGAGAAAGAAAAAGTAGCAGAAATGAAAGAGACAAACAAATTTCTAATGATCTGGAACCTACCAACAGATATAAAAGAAGAAGAAGTCAAATATATGTGTAGAAATATAAGAAGTGCACAAGTGGACAAAATCAAAAGAATAAGATTCAAAGCTTTATCAATAATCAAGTCTAGCTATTTAGAAAAACAAAGAGCTCTATGGTCTTTTCCAATTGGCAGCAATAATCTAGCATGTGTTATATGGGGCTATGAAGACTATGAGCAAAAAGAAAAACAAGAAAGACACACAATTAAACTAATAGGATTAGCAAGAGGAGCCTTAAAAGTATTATTACTAAGAAGCCTTAGAAACAAAGAAGCAAAGGCAGTCTACATTCCTTCTAACAGAAATGGAAACCCAAGAAGCATTGCAGTAATAATCTTTGAAAATAATGAAAACCTCAAGAGAGTGAGTAGTAAATCAGTAAGATACTACAATTATACACTGTACTGGAAATCAATTAAAGAAAGAAAACCAGAAAGTAAGAACATACTGATCTATAAAACAAAAATAATGAAAGAAAACAACACAAAAGAGAAGCATCAAGAAGCTAACAAAGAGCTTAACTACAAGGCAGAAATAACAAATACAGAAAGAAACAATAATAGCAAAAACAGCAAAAAAGACATACTAACCATCTAGGAAAGAATAGATCAACATCAAACTACATTACAAAAAATACTAGAAAAATTAGAAAAGATAAGTAAGAAGCAAGAGAATTCTGCACAATACTCCTGAAAACTGCCTTGGTTGAAAACACAAATATAGATAAGAAGATTACAGACTTCCTGCAAAACAAAAAGGAAATATATGAAAGAACACAAAAAGAAAAAACTTCTTATCTTCTTAAAAACCACAGCAGGAAGAACAAAGATAAAGAGAAAGAGACAAACAGAGCAGAGGAAATTAATGAACTTAAAGAAGAGTGAAAACAAACAAATAAAAAAGAATTCAGAATAGCATATCACAATGTTAATGAGCTTAAAACTAAAGGATGGAAATTAGGAAATTTTTTAGGTTGGACAGAGAAAGAAGAGATATTAATATTAGAAATAACAAAAACAAATATTGCAGAAAAAGAAAGAAAATTCCTAGTATATGACCTTAATATGCATTACAAGAGTTACTGGACTAGTGCAATACCAGACAAGAAAAAAAGTTCAGGGGTTGGCATACTGATAGAAGAAAAGTAGGAAAAACATGTAAAAGCTGTCAAAAGGATTAGTGAATATATGATAAAAGTGTGGCTATACTTTAAACAATTAGAACTAATAGTGATAAGAATATATATCCCACCGAATGACAAGACAATTAGTAAAAACATTTAACAAAAAGTGGTAGAAGTAATAACAAACAGAAAAAAATATACAGAAGTAATTATATTAGAAAACTTTAATCACACAGTAGACAATGTAATAGATAAACAACATTCACAAACAACAAACTATAAGAGATTACCATTATTCAATTGGCTCAAGAAACAAGAGTTTATAAACTCATACAGAAGTCTTCACCTAACAGAAAAGGCATACACATAGTCAAGCTGTGATGCAGCAACACGAATTGATTATATATAGCTATCAGAAATACTTGCATCAGGTTTACAAAAAGCAGACATAGAAGAAGCAAAAGGACTGACTGATAGCGATCACAAGATAATAACAACAGAAATATGGGTCAGACATATAATTGCAAATAGCAGTAGTATAAACATTAGATGAAAAGACCAAACAAGAACAATATACCTATATGAAGAAGCAAAACAAGAAGACTATGAAGAATACGCAAAGGAACTACAAAACCAACTAGAATGAAAAAAAGTTATAAAACAACTAGAAGAAAATGAAATAGATGTGAATTGTAACACAAACATGTTAAATTTAATATAAAATACAATAGAAGGAGCTTAATCGAAGCAGCAAATAAA